TCTCGACGTACCAGCAGCCTCGTTTATTTTTCTTTCATGTCGTTGTCTCAAATCAGAAACCCGACCTACTTCAATCTGATCAATATTTTCTGACACGTCCATTGATGCTTCGTCCATCAATTATCTTAACGCACGACGATGCGTGTTAATGACAAGATGCCAAAACACTAAAAAATTAACATACGAAAATAACCCGCGTTGTATCGTTAGAAAACCTCACAAAATGAACGTCTTTTTATTAATCCCCGAGATGGCGGCGCGAAGCGCCGTGCGAGGGTACTAATTCCCCCCGGCTATTTACACCCGCGGAAACGAAAGCATTAGCGAAGTCTAAAGTTCATCATTCATCGCGGGCGCTTACCAACGAACGACGATCTTGAGTGGGTGGTCATCCTCACTTATCTCAAAAATATGGCGAGCAAGATTTCAATTTTAAAAGACATATATTTGCAAAAACGTTTCATATACAACAAGCTTGAAGCAATTTTGTTTGAAGAAATGAGAAGAATTGGTTTACTACGGGAAATCGTGAAATATACGGCAAGTTTGCTTTGAATATTTTTAAAATGTTTACGAATTTTATTGCTTTAACTTTTTACGTATTAAATAAAAAACATGAACTATAGAAGCTCTAAGTTTTATAAATTACCGTTTAATTTGAGAAAAAATCTTAAAATGTAAAGGCGAACAAATTGATTTGAAAACTGAACTGAAATTACCTAACAATTTTATTTTATTTGTATTAAACTTATCATGTTTTGTTAAGTAAAAACAGTTTATCGGCAAAATGTAGGTTTACTTGAATGAACATTTCAAAACATTTTACGAAGCATTTCAAGTTAAATTTTACATTAAATCAAAGCCCACAAAATGCAAAATAATATACCTACAGTATGTATTTCGGAAATTTATTGTTGTATAGTTAAAAGTACGAATCTGTCAACTATTTTGCAGTTTTGTACAAAATATATGAAAATAAAAATTTAAGAATATCGTGTTGTCATGGCAACACTTGAGCGCGAGCCTGCGTTCAGTGCTGATCATTTCTGAATAATTCATGTTTAATGTATGGAAATATTGGCGAGGGGTTACTGCATGCATGTATTTCTAGTAGTAGAACAATATTTGCAGAGGGTAAACAACATTCAGTTGTTACCTATAAGATATAACACCTAAAGGCTCGTTTACATTTGCAATTGTCACTGCGATTTCTATGGCGATTTCTTTACATCTCCAATGTAAACATCCAATCCTGCGATTTTGACTACAACTTTGGTGCGACAACAGTACAGTTTGCAGCAATTTTACCAGGTTATTGACTCAAAACTGAGTTAAATTTCAATTAAATTTTTACAAGCAATAAAAATATTTAAATTTGTTCTGATTAAGGCCTACTTTGGGGCGGTAAATCGCCTTAAATCGAAATTAAATCGCGGATTAAAAATGTCGAATTTCTCTTAAATCACCTAATCGCCTAAATCGCCAACATGCATTCTGTTTGATACATTCAGTCCATGTACTCAAGTTTATCAATTGCTGCTATTTTACGGGTAAATAATGTAATCCAGGTGCTTTGCAATCAAAAGTAATGCAACATGAATTAGCAATCAAATAAGTGGATTAGGCTGACAATATTTGGTCACTCAATAGGCACCGGTCATTGACAAAAACAGAGCTTTTTCTGCTTTATGCAGACTTTACAATAATTAGGTAATTCTGGGATCTGAAAGACCCATTGATCCCATACACTACCAGCAACAAAATTGAGCTAGTTACCAGAATCAGAGTTGATTTCATTATTGGTGTAAATGGAGGCTGGGCTACAATTTATATGGACTATGGAGACTGGGCTACAAATTAATCTATAATCAACATGGCTTCTCAAAGCCTAATTGCTGTTAATTAGAACAACAGTAGGAGACTAGGAAAGTCAATGAGTACGAGTGTTGATTTATATAATAAAGTCATCGTGTAATTTGTGCACTGTTGCATGTAAGATCCAGCACTGCATTGTATACAATGGTTGTACTTCGACATGTGCCTGGTTATACTCTAGCTCCTAGTTGTAATTATAGTGGCTATTAAAAATATACGTGAGGTTATGAGCGATTTGCAACTCTCATCTATTAAATTTTCCTGACCTGTATATACAATAAACAGTGCAATTAAACAATGATTACATCGTACATACCATGCAATAGATCTTTTGTTATTGTTTGTTTGCAGAACCTAAAACCACGATGTAGTGCGCCATTTGTTTAATACTGTATTATTTTGTTTTTAATTTTAAAATAATTTAAAAATTCGAATTCCTACCATTTATATACGATATACTTCATGTAATTTAAACATTACGGCATTACGCCGACAGTTTCCGAATGCGTGACGATACTGTTTGTGGATATGGCACTGGGATATGATATAGATATCAAAAAAATTATAAAACATGTTTGTAGCATGAAGAAAGCACGAGATTGAAACAGTTTAAATAAAATTCAAGCTAAATAAAGAAATTTTGACATGATACAAAACAACATAATTTCACTTACAAGGGTGACAAGGTAATTTATAGGATTATAGCTTATTCAGTTAATATACTGTATAAATACATTGTGTGTTTCTCTTGTGGGTTTTTTGGAAATCAAATATTATATTTTGCAATTTTAACTCGACATAAATTAATGATATTAAAGTTTAAGGCATGTGTAGTGCATGCCCCTTAAGTGGAGTATATTAACTGTTTACAATATTTGTGGTATATAATGTAGCCATGAATGACCACATGACTTTCCTAACTGTGTTTATATCCTAACCCACCCTGCCAATTTTGCCCTGTGGGAGGAATCCGGAGCAAAATATAAAATTCAATTCCTTTGAAAACAACTATAAATTGCAATCCCTAAAATTTAAAATGTTTTCTTAAATCGCCTAAAATCGCATTAAATCGCAGTGCTTGAAAGTCCCAGTTTTTCCTTAAATTGCCTAAAATCGCCCCAAATCGCATTATATCGCAGCGATTTAAGAGGCTGTCTCCGTAAAAACCTCCAGGTCAATATGGGGCTCAAAAATAGATTTCTCTCATACTCTAGTATTTTGAAGATCTATCGTTGGGAACAACTAAAATCGATTTCATTTTACTCAAATTTCCTTTAAATTATTCTTGGGGGCGATTAATGACCAGTACTTATGTAATGTCTTCTTCATCAAATGGTTAGAGTAAATTTCTACTTCTTGCAAGTAAATATTTGACAAGCAGTCTGGAATAAACACAGGAATAAGCAAAATAAGCCATTTTATAGTAGCAATATGAAAAGTTTTTTCTTTTTCCATGACTTTTAATGCATCAGCCAAATCCAAGTGTGCCCATCCCCCTCGCCCAGCCATTTTCCTGTAAAGCACATCCCGGGGGTTGGGCATTTCCACTCGAACCTTATGCAATTATCATTGGCTTCCCCGGGGGTCGACCCCTGCGACACCCCAGGGGGAACCACCAGGAACAGGAGG